ACTTCCGCTTCCGGGGCAGGGGAAAAAGGGCGGGGGGGGGGGGGGGGGGGGAAGCGCCCGTTTCTCGTGAAGGGAAAAAAAGGGAAAATACAGGAAGGAGGAAACCGGAGATACCGGGGGGAAAGACGGTAAAAACCGGGACAGGAACGCGACCCCTTCTCACGTGACGGGGGAGAGCCGGGAGATTGGAACTACAGGGGCAGCGTTCACATGATACGGGAACGGAGGAGGAGGGGTTAAAATGGCGCCGATTCCCTCGTCACGTGACGGGGAGAGGCGGGAAAATCGTGAGGCGCCGGCGTCACGTGATAGGGGAAAGATCGGAAGCGGGGGGGGGGGAAATGGCGCCGTCCCCGTTCCGCGAGACGGGAGAGGAGCGGGACGGCCGTGAGGGGAAAGGCGGGGAACGGAGCGGGAGGAAGCGCATGGATCCACGTGAACGGGGAAAGAGGGAAATGGAGAGGGGGCAGAAGGGAGAAATAACGGGAGAGAAGCGGTTCCTTTCTCACGTGCCGGGGCAGGAGGGGAAAAAAAAAAAACCGGAGGAGGGGACATTTATCACGTGATACAGGAAGGCAAAACAGCGGGGAGAAATGGCGCCGCTCCTGCGTCACGTGACAGGGGAGGGGCGGGAAAATCCTGAGGGGACAGGATCACGTGATGGACGAGAGGCGGGAAAATCGTGAGGGGAGCTCGGTGGGCGCCATCTTGTGGTGAGAGCGGGAAACGTGCCGGTGGGGATCGCTAATTCGCGGCGGCATTTAATTAAAGATGTTTATTAAGGCGGGGGACGAATCAAGGGAAGCGAACGAGGGGGCTTAGTTAGCACTTCATTACGGGAAAACCACTCGCAGCACTCGCTCCGTTTCCAAACCTTTTATTAAAAAAAAAAACCCCCCTGCCGGGTCCCTCCCATCCCGCCAGCCATGCCCACGTTTACCCCGCCCTGTTCGGCCCCGCCCCGCTTAGCCCCGCCCCCTGCCCCGCCCCCCTATGACACAGAGACATTTTACATATTTATATAAATATGGGGAGGGGGCGTGGCCCCGTCAGGAAGAGGGGCGGGGCTTAATCCGAGTCGGAAGTGGGTGGCAACATGGGGTCGGCCAGCAGGGGGCAGCACCCACTTCCTGCTTCCGCTTCCTCTTCTGCCTCTGGCCGGAAGCGCGGGGGCGGGGCTAAGGAGGGCGAGGCCACGCCCCCCGCGGCGCTGGCCCCGCCCCCCATCAGCGCCACCATCTTGGAAAGGTCCAAACCTGAGGGGGGGGGGGAGGGGAGGAACTGTGGGGGGGCGGAGGAGGAGAAAGAAAAATTAATGAGGGGGGGTGGGGCTTAAGTGGGCGTGGCCAGCTCAAGCCACACCCTTAAAAGGAAATGCAAAAAAAAAACCCTCTTAAAAACCGCCCCAAAATTATTTAAAATCCTCCAAATTTCCAACGGAAGTGGGAGGAGCCGAGACCCCCCCCTCAAAAAAAACGAAGCGGGGCGGATCTGGCCCCTCCCCCACCCCGATTTTTTGGGAATTTTTTTTTTTTTTTTGGGAATTTCGGGCCTTTCCCCCCCGGGTACCTTTTTCCGGTGCCATTTTTCCCTCCGCTGCTCCACGAACTGAGGAAAAGAATTTTGGGGGGGG